CAATTAGCCACACATTCCATTTCCTCCTGTTCCTGACTCTCTTTCTTCCTCTCTTGCTCCAGGTGAATACAGACCAATTGTACTTCAAATTAAGAACTTTTAATCATCGATAAGAACCATTGTTTTTGTTATGAGCTGTTGAGCTGGTTCTCACTAATAGTGACCCTATGTACAACAGAATGAAACACTGCCCCATCCGGTGCCATCCTCACAATCATTGTGCTTGTGCCCGCCATTGTAGCCACTATGTCAATCCATCTTGTTGAGAGTCTTCCTCTTTTTCTCTCACCCTCTACTTTACCAAGCACGATGTCCTTCTCCAGGGACTGGTTCCTCCTGATAACATGTCCAAAGTCTTCCCATCCTTGCTTCTAAGGAGCATTCTGGTTGTACTTGTTCCAAGACAGATTTTTCATTCTTCTGGAAGTTCATGGTATATTTAATATTCTTCGTCAACACCATAATTCAAAGGCATCGATTCTTCTTCAATCTTCCTTGTTCACTGTCCAGCTTTCACATACATATGAGTTGATTGAAAACACCATGGCTTGGGTCAGGCACACCTTAGTCCTTAAAGTGATATCTTTGCTTTTAAACACTTTAAAGAGATCTTTTGCAGCACATTTGCTCAATGCAATGCATCCTTTGATTTCTTGACTGCTGCTTCCATGGGTGTTGATTGTGGATCCACGTAAAATGAAATCCTTGACAACTTCAATATTTTCTCCATTTATCATGATGTTGCTTATTCATCCAGTTGTGAGGATTTTTGTTTTCTTTATGTTGAGGTGTAAGCCATACTGAAGGCTGTGGTCTTTAATATTCATCAGTAAGTGCTTCAAGTCCTCTTCACTTTCAGCAAGCAAGGTTGTGTCATCTGCGTATTGCAGGTTATTCATGAGCCTTTGTAAAAAGGCATGGGGGCGGAGTCTGACCACCTCTTTTCACAAGGGGGAAGGAGAATCAAGAACAATAGCCCAAGGCTGATTCCTATGAGGTGGAGGTCAGACATGCCTCCTCTCTCTGCCATCTTTACCAATTCTGACACCAACGGTCCCATCCACAGCACTCCCTGCTTCTCTTCTGGGTTCTATAATTCATTGCAATGGCCACGCAGAACTCATAGACAATACTCACGATTATGGGGTTTATTAGGCAAGTAGCAGTTACAATTCAGGCTCAGGAATACTCAGGATACAGTTCTTCAATCAAGACAGTCTCTTCCCAGCCATGTTTGCAGGCATGCCTCTCCCTGGCCCTCAGCCTCCGCCCAAAGACAGACACTAAGCTTTCTTGTTCCATGGGCTGAGAAGCCCACCACACTGTCGCCTGCTGCCTGGTCTCTGCCACCACTTCTCACTGCCTTTACTGTTTCAGCTGTCTCTGTCTCTGTCTCCTGGTTCCAGGAGCTTCTCCGTGCAGAGAACCCAGGTCCAAAGATAGTACTGGCTCCTGGCTATTCTTCCTTGGTGGTGTGGGATCTTCTCTTTCCCATCTCTAGGGTGGCTCATTTCAAGTCCAGTGGGATGGCAAAACTGATCAAATCCCTTTGATGGTCCACAATTACCCTATCACACAGTTCTGCTAAATCACGTGGGAGGGATTTATAAGACCATGGCTAGAAAGGCCACACAAAAGCGATCCATCGCACCGCAATCTTCCTCCAATCCTGATGCCATGTTCTACTTCTTATGGTCCAGCTTCTTGGATTATTTGCTTGGCATACAGATTGAATAAGTATGGTGAAAGGGTACAACCCTGACACACCTTTCCTGACTTTAAGCCACGTAGTATCCCCTTGTTCTGTTCGAATGACTGCCTCTTGGTCTAAGTACAGGTTCCTCATGAGCACAATTGAGTGTTCTGGAATTCCCATTCTTCACAATGTTATCGATAATTTGTTACGATCCACAGGGTTGAATGCCTTTGCATAGTCAATAAAATACAGGTAAACATCTTCTTGGTAGTCTCTGCTTTCAGCCATGATCCATCTAACATCAAAAATGATATACCTTGTTGCACGTCCTCTTCTGAATCTGGCTTGAATTTCTGGCAGTTCCCCGTTGATGTACTGCTGCAACTGCTTTTAAACGATCTTTAGCAAAATTTGCTTATGTGTGATATTAATGATATTGTTCAATACTTTTCACATTCAGCTGGATCATCTTTCTTAGGAATGGGTACAAATATGGATCTCTTCCACTCAGTTGGCCAGGTAGCTGTCTTCCAAATTTCTTGGCATAGATGAGTGAGCACTTCCAGAGACGCATCCGTTTGTTGAAACATCTCAATTGATATTCCGTCAGGTCCTGGAGCCTCGTTTTTCGCCAATGCCTTTAGTGCAGTTTGGACTTCTTCCTTCAGTACCATTGGTTCTTGATCATATGCTACCTCCTGAAATGGTTGAATATTTTCTTCAGTTCTTTCAGCTTAAGAAATGTCAAGCGTGTTCTTCCCTTTTGGTTTTCTAACTCCAGGTCTTTGCACATTTCATTATAATACTTTACTTTGTCTTCTCAAGCTGCCCTTTGAAATCTTCTGTTCAGCTCTTCACTTCATCATTTCTTCCTTTCGCTTTAGCTGCTGTATGTTCAAAAGCAACTTTCAGAATCACTTCTGACATCCATTTTGTTTTTTTCTTTCTTTCCTGTCTTTTTAATGACCTCTTGCTTTCTTCATGTATGATGTCCTTGATGTCATTCCACAACTCGTCTGGTCTTCGGTCATTAACGTTCAACGCATCAAATCTATTCTTGAGTTGGTCTCTAAATTCGGGAGGAATATACTTAAGGTTGTACTTCGGCTCTGGTGGACTTTCTAATTTTCTTCAACTTCAATTTGAAATTGCATATGAGCAATTGATGGTCTGTTCCACAGTCGGCTCCTGGCCTTGTTCTGACTGATGATATTGAGCTTTTCCATCGTCTCTTTCCACAGATGTAGTCGATTTGATGCCTGTGTATTCCATCTGGCGAGGTCCATGTGTATAGTTGCTGTTGATGTTGTTGGAAAAGGTATTTGCAATGAAGAAGTCATTGGTCTTGCAAAATTCTATAATGTTATCTCCAGCGTCATTCCTATCACCATGGCCATATTTTCCAACTACCAATCCTTCTTCATTTCCAACTTTCACATTCCAATCACCAGTAATTATCAATGCTTCTTGATTGCATGATTGATCAATTTCAGACTTCAGAAGTTGGTAAAAATCTTCAATTTCTTCATCTTTAGCCTTAGTGGTTGGTGTGTCAATTTGAATAATAGTCATATTAACTGGCCTCCTTTGTAGGCGTATGGATATTATCCTATCACTGACAGCGTTGTACTTCACAATAGATCTTGAAATGTTCTTTTTGATGATGAACGCGATGCCATTCCTCTTCAATTTGTCATTCCCTGCATAGTAGACCATATGATTGTCTGATTCAGAATGGCCAATACCAGTCCATTTCAGCTCACTAACACCTAGGATATTGATGTTTATGCATTCAATTTCATTTTTAATGATTTCCAATTTTCCCAGATTTATACTTTGTACATTCCAAGTTCTGATTATTAATGGATGTTTGCAGCTGTTTCTTCCCATTTTGAGTCATGCCACCTCAGCAAATGAAGGTCCCGAAAGCTTGACTCCATCCACCTCATTAGGTTGACTCTACTTTGAAGAGGCAGCTCTTCTTCAGTCATCTTTTGAGTGTCTTCCAACCTGAGGAGCTCATCTTCCGGCACTATATCAGAAGAGGGTTGTTGGAAACAGAGAAATGAAAAATGCCTGAAACAAATGTGGCAGATGAAATGGATGAAAGACTGGACAGTGTTTCAGATTTGGAACTGGCAGAGTGTGGTGACTTACTGTTTGGGATCTGAGGGAGAGGGGGGAATGGGGAATCCTCCAGCTGCAGAAGGCAGGAAAGACTTCCTGCAGAATATTTTAGTTGCTTTCTCTCTTAGTTATTTTAAACAACCTAGAAGATCCAGTAACTGGATATTAAAGGAAAGGTCACCTTGGAAGGATGGAAACTTACAGAGATTTGGGTTATTACATGTGTAAACTGGAAAAAAGGATTCCCCACTCAAACCCTAAAGTCTCTTACCCATTACCCAGGGGTTACCACTATTAACTATCTGGTCTATTTCTTCCCATAGATTTTGCTCAACAAGTATTTTACACACACACACAGACACATAGCTTTTTAAAAGTCAAACAGAACTCATATCACACATATGTCATGTAATTTGCTTTTTCACTTAATAGTATCATCAGAGCTTCTTTCCATGATCGTACTCTGGATCATTTTACCTTTTACTGTTTTATCATATCCTATTCTATGAATGTACCATAATGGTTTAATCAATACCATGTTGATGAATATTTGGGTGGTTTCCAATTTATTGCTAATCAAAAAAAAAGGCTACAGTGAATCTCCACATACATGTGTCTTTATGCACTTATACGAGTATTCCTGAAGAATAAATTCCTAGGAATGGAACTCTGTAGAATATCATTTTTCCTAAGTAACATTTTTCATCACAAAAGCAACATGCTCAATGTGAAAAAGTTGAAAACTAAATGAAAATGCATTCAAAAGCTAAAATCATCTATAATTACACACAGACACACTGTTTTGTAATCTGCCCTCTCACCTGGCGAATCATCATCGTGAACATTATGTAATGTCATTAAATGAACTTCCAGACCTGGGCTGTGAACCTCCTTTCAGTGCAGAAGGAGGTATTGTCATCTCTTCACAGTATGCCCCCATCTTCGTGTGCCTGACAAGAGTAGCTGCCCAACAGCTGTTAATGTGAGGAGGATTACCTGGATGAGTTTAAAGATCTCTCCAGCTGTAAAGGTTAACGAGGTCAGCCAGGGACTGAGGAAGGGAAGGCTGCTGGTGCATACAGAAGTGATGGGGGAAAGAAGAAGAGAAAGAGTTGGCCAGGAGTCCTGGGGTGTTGACACAGGTAACAGGTGATAGTGATACCACACTGTTGGGGCAGGGGGTGTAGTTCAGGGGCAGAGCATTTGACTGCAAATCAAGAGGTCCCTGGTTCAAATCCAAGTGCCCCCTGGTTCTCTCACTTTTAATCCTGTATTCCCTGTTCCTTACAGGTCAGAACTCCTCTATTAAATCACAAAGAAGAATGATGAGGCAGATCAAAACTCTTAACTAATGCTTCTTAGAAGTGCAGGCTCAATTTGTATGCACATTGAAGTTTACCTCCTCCAGTCCCCCTAGGTCTCACTCAGCTCAGCCCCTATCCTGCCAGGCTTGGAACCGAGATCTCACTTCTCACATGTGTGAGAGATCCAGAGAGAGATTGGGGACTGTGTCTCCATCTCCTGCTGTATGTTCCATAGCACCCAGCCGAAGCTTTGCACACAGAGTAGTTGAGCCAGCAGTAGCATCATGGTAAGGTGCTCGGCTTTCTGAGCTCAGCCTGCTGGGTTGCAGATTGGAGGCCCTGGACTTGGGTTCCATGTCCCCAAAGTTCTAGAGCTCAGGAGGTGGGCACTGCTCCAGATTCATGTCCTGCCTTTCCAGGACCAGGGAATGCAGAAGAGCAGGACTCTGGGAGGCCCATGGAACTGAGGAATAAGACAGTGGAGAATCCAGTGGAGGAAGTAACCTGGAGCTTCCTGAAGGACCTGACCTGATTCTACCTACCTCTTCTCTCCTCTCCATGCGGTCAGATTCAAAATCACGGGACCCAGCAAAGGAAAGGAAGCTGGAATTGTAATTCAAAAATCAGTGAGTAACAATAAGAACAGGGAAGGAGCACCTGGATTTGCACCTTTTAATCTGTCCTTAAAACCGCTTCTCATTATTGTCTAATAAAGACCTTGACCTCTGTAATTATATCAGCAGTCCTTCATAACACTGAGTTATTATTCCCAGTCAGTCCATGAGACCTGCTCTACCGCAGATGGACTTTCCTTCCTCACGATCCCCACCTCTTCCCATGTGGCAGCCTTTCATGACAATGCCCAGCATCCTCTCCATCCATCCATCCATCCGTAGCGGAGGACACCAGCTTAAGAGTCAAAGAGACTGTTGCCTCAGCGGAAACGCAGGTGTCTGTCTCAGCGGAAACAGTGAGAGGTCTTTGTGGAAACGCCGGCGTCACAGTGCAAGCAGAGTCTCTGTAGAAATGTGGGCCTCACAGTGGAAGTGCAGGCGTTTGTGGAAGCGCCGGCGTCTCCGTGGAAACGCCGCGCTGGCGTCTCCGTGGAAACGCCGCGCTGGCGTCTCCGTGGAAACGCCGCGCTGGCGTCTCCGTGGAAACGCC